ACCCACATGCCAGCGCTCTCGACCAGCTTGTCCGCCATGGCGGGACGGCGCCGCCCAGCGGGCGCGATGCGTCCCGCCTCTGCCGCCGACCTCGCTGCGCGATCAGCGCAGTGATTGCCGAACCACTCCTTGTAGGTGATCTTGCCATCGACGACGACGACGACCGTTCGCCTAGACTCATGGGCGGGCACCTTCCTGACCGAGAGACCGTCTTCGTTCAAGCCCCCGCGCTCGTCCAGCAGCCGCCAGACCTCGCGCCACTGGTGAGCCCGGGCCGCACCGTGCGCCGTGGTGCGCCGAGGCCCCAGCTCCGTCAGCCAGCTGCTCGCGAAGCCGCTGTCCACGATCACGGTGACGGGCGGAACGGCGAACGTGAGGACCATGATGAGCGCCATGATCTCTCGGCCGTTGATGTCGACGTGCGGCTCGCGCAGCATCTCTGACGCGCCGCGCAGGAAGGCGTCGGCCTCCTGAGCGCGATGGCGGCCCAATCCGCGCTGGCGCACTGCTCGTAGTCGCCCTCGAACTGGGAGCCGTCATGGAACAGCTCGCCCGACGGGAAGTGGCGCTCGCACCCGCCGAGCCAGCAGACGTCGGGCACCTTGCTGGGCTTGGCGATCCTTTTCGGCGCGGGCCACAGCGCGCGCCCCAGCAGGCGCTTCACCTCGGGCAGGTCGGCCTTCTCCAAGAGCCCGCGCATCTTGTCGGGCAGGCGCAGCCCGGGCGGCCACCCGGCGCAGCAGCAGTGCCTGTGGGGGGGCGTGTGCCGACCGCGCCGCGCAGCAGGCACGAGTCGTCCACCGCCATGCCGCTCTCGTAGTTGCGGCTCTGGGGCCACTGGCCGTCGACGACCGCCGAGGCGAGAGGTGGCCGCGCTCCTTGAGGGACAGCCTGGGTGTCGAAGCCTTGCCAGCCTCCATGGGATTCGACCCATGGTCCATCTGCCCAAAGTGGGAATCATCGATGCGTGGCGACGCTGGCCGCTGCCCAGCGGGTTCTGCCATTCCGAGCTCAGCAGAACTCGGCGACGTCGGCCGCTGTCCAATGGGCCCTGTCCGCTCGAGTTCTGTCGGTCTGGCATGTGACGTCGCAGCACGGTGGCCAGCGGGTCCTGGCCATTCGAGCTCAGCAAGACAAGTCGCCGACGCCCGCGGGGCAGTGGGTTCTGACGCCTGTTCAGGACAAGCATCCATAGCTGGCGGCGGCGCAGGCGTCACCGCAGCAGCGCCCTTGGTAGCAGTGGCGCCGCGCCTGCCAGGCGCCGTGTCGAACTCCGCCTGCGCCTCCATCGTGGAGCGGACGTGCATCGCCGCTTGCTCGTCCCACTCCTGCTCGTCGGTCTGCGCCAGTCTGAGCGTGTGGGCGCGGTAGCGGGCGCGGATGCGTCGCCTGGCTGACCGCGCCGCCTCGCAGGAGTCCTGGGCCATCCGCAGCCTGGCCACAGTGAGATTGTCGACGCCTCTCGCCCGCGCAGCTTCGCGCGCGAGCGGCGGCCAGGTCCCGTGCGCCATTCGGTCGGCTAAGTAGGAGACGCATCGGCGAAGCCAATGATACCCGCCACAAGCCTCGTCAAGCACCGTCGCGTTCTGCAGCCAGAAGGTGGCGCGCGCGCAGCCTCTTCTCGAGCGCGATCCTGGCACGCGCGCCAGCTCGCCGAGCTGGGCCCTGGTCCTTGGCCTCCATGGCCCGCAGCTGGTGCCCGAATGCACCGTTGCGGCTCACCGCGCCAGTGGTGGCCATCCTGATCAGCGGCTCGACGATGCCTCCATCGGCGAGGTGCTCCTTCCCAGGCCGCTTGCCAACCTCGCGCTACTGCTGGACCTGCGCAGCCCGTGTCGGCAAGCGCTTGACGAGCCAGGGCGCCTGCTCGAACGCGCAGGCGTCGTCGCTCTCGTGCGCGCGCCAGGTTGTGCTGTCGAGCGCCTGTCAGCCGACCCTTTCCAGCGACAGCCTCGCGGCGCTGAAGGGGCCGCGCGCTTGGGGCCAGCTCGCGGCCTGGCAGCGCGTCGTGCAGTAGGCGATGACGTACTGCGGAATCCAGTGCTGCCAGGCAGCGCGCAGCAACGTCATGATAGGCAACGGCGTGGCCCTGAACATCGGGTCGAGCATGGGCGTCGGCATCAGCGCGGGCGTTCGCGACCGCCGAGCCACGCTGGGAGCCGCGGCAGTGAACGACGCGGTCCTAAACGCGTTCAGCTCCATGGTCGCGCAGCCCGTGTCGGCGAAGCCGTGGGGCTCGCTGGGCTCGAGCCCCGACCTCGCCACCTTGCGCGCCGCCTGTTTGCGTCCGGCTCCAGTCTTGAGCAGCGCGATGCGGCGCTGGCGAAGACCGGCTTGCGCGATCTCCTCGCTGCGCGCCTTGCGCACAATGCGCGTGCCACAGGCAGCGTCCACGCCCAGATTGCGCTCGCCTTTGACCGGGGCGACGCCGAGCGGCCGGCGTAACGTGGCGGCCGCGCAGTGACGGGCTGCCGGGAGGTTCGCCAGGGCCCTCGACTCC